GGGTCCGCCATTTTGCAAATGGGGGCCGTTATGGCAGTAACGGCAGCGGTTTACGACAGTCATGGTGCCCGTTTTGGGCTCTTTTTTTTCTCCCATTTTTCCGAGTTTGGACCTGGTTTTTTTTGGGGTTTGGGCTTTCCATGTTTTCCATTTTCATGAATAGGTTCGCAGCGAAAGCCTAACCCTAAAGTTCTGAAACATTGCCTCCTCCGTGCAACATCAATGGCGTGCCTCCTCCGATGAGTTCTACCGCTGTTGCCGCCTCCAACACGACCACCACCATGCGCGTGATTCTACTCCGCTTCTTCTCCCTCTGCACGCGATTCTGCTCCGCTTCTTCTCCCTCCGCGCGCGATTCTGCCCCGCTCCTTCTCCCTCTGCGTGCAATTCTGCACCTTCTCCGTTCGTGTTTTGCTGTTTTTTTTTTGTTTACACTATTTCTTTGTTTTGATGGATATTTAATCCTTTTGTTGGTTAGGAGTTTATGTCTTTTTATGATGACTATCACTAGATTATGAATGCCATGAATTTTAGATTGTTATATTGTTGGTTTTAATATATGTGTTTGTTATTTTTTTGTTTTTGCATCATATTATATATATATATATATATATATATTTTATTTTTTTATTTATTTTTTTTTGTCTGCCATGATGTCCGCGATGGCAGTATGGCACTTAAAGGTCCTTGCCGCCATCCGGTGTACAACCTTACTGACAACCTTGCTAATAATTAGGTAAAAAATTAATGTAGTATTACTTGTACTAGCCAAAGCCCGCTAACACCAATAAATATCCCCCACATTAATAAGGTTCTCATATAGAAATTAAAAAAATATAAAGATCAGTGAGTTTCACATATCAACAATACAATTTCAAATGTAGCCGTCACTAACCTGGTTCAGTATACCCCAGACTTTTAGCATCTCTAACAACTTGGCTCAGTGGCTTTCCATCTTCAACCTCACTCATTACATACCCCAATGTCCCTAATAAATAAGAGCAAGTAGCATAAAATACGATATCAAAAAATATAATCTCTTCTTCTTATTAAGAATGCATGATGGAAAACCAAAAAAATAATATGTAATTATAGGATCGTGCAAGATATATACCACTCAAACTCCCAATAATTTGACGAACAGGATCACCAGAAGAGGTTATACGATTCAGGGATGCTATCACAGGAAGACCAGCACCTACCTTTAAAAATATAATAACCGCCAACCAGTTCAGAAATAGTTCATAAATCCATTGATAATTCAATATTCCTGTAACATCCCAACTTTGTTCTTATAAACATATATAAATTAAATTGTTTGTGATAGATAGTAAATAATTGTTTTGTGAAGTGTGATGTGTTAGAAGGGTTTAACACCGTGAGTTTTACGTTTTTTATAGGTGTTTTAAGGCTTAAAAAGTTCTAGTCAACTCATTAAGGGTATTTTAGTAAATGAATATATATTTAGCTTAATTGATTAATGATGAATTAGAGTGTCTAAAAATGATATGATGTAGAATAGTTAATATTAAGATGCAATGGATTTAGGAGGGGCAAAATGGCTTTTCCTATTCCCTTTAAAATATCTTTTTTTGGTCAAGCCCACTTGACCAACTTGGATGTCTACTTAAGAAAGAAGTGAAACCTTCTCGCTTAAGCATCTTTTTGGAGGTGAGGTAGAGAGAAGTAGAGAAGAGTGCTTTGTGCTCTTGGTGGAAGGTGATAAAAGAAGTTATATCTCCACGGTTGTTTCTTCTTCCTCTGGCTTTTTGACTACATTAGGGTAGTTTTTAAAACATATTACTAAGGTGGGGTTGTTTCGAAAAATTGTCACATTACTATAGCGACATCTGTACTGTTGCAACTAGATACAACAATTTTAATTTTAATTTTTTTTTGCTATTGTCACATTGACCTATCGCGAGAACCTATATTTTTTTTGGTGTTGCAGTGGATCATTGCGACAAAATTATTTTATTTATTTATTTCAACATAATTCTCAAGTAACTTATGTGACAATAGCAACTTTTTTTTTTAAAGCAAACTTGTATGCAGCGAAGTCCACTTGTGGAAGACATTTTTTTTTTTTTTTTATAAAAAAAATACCTTGTAACTATCATTTAAGTCACATGCTATTGCCAAAATAAAAGTTAAATTCATTAAAAAAAAAAAAAAGCATTTTTACATGGCAACAGAACCCCCATAGCCAATGAGAATCAAAAGCTAGAACAACTCAATAAATATATACATAGAGACAGAGAGAGAGAAATAATGATGGAGAAACCCTCTTCCGCTAAAATAAAACACATCATTGTGAGAGAATATAAGAGTTGGGGGCAAGAGGCTGAGGTGGGTTAAAGAGAGTGGCCAATGGCAACGAGATGGATAAACCCTAAACAATAACCAAGTAATGAAGAATGCCAGAACCCAAAAAATGATAATTACAAAGTAATTTTTTTTTTTTTAAAATGTCTTCCGCTAGAGGACCTTGCAACATATAAGTTTTCTTAAAAAAATTGCTATTGTGGCAGAAACTCCTTGCGAATAATGTTGACAAAAAAATATATAATAGTGTCACTGCAGCTAGTTGTGATAGAGCAGGTGCTGCTTCTAGCTGCAGCAACATCTACATCAATGCCATGTGTCTCAACTGGAGCCTTTTTAGGTAAAAAAAATAAAAAATAAAAAAATAAAATAAAATGTCATGGCAAGAGTGTTGCTGGGTTGACTAGCAACACTCCCTTTTGACCACCCCAAAGTGAGAAATTGTTTTAAAACAACTCTACTTTAGTAAAATGTTTTGAAAACTACCCTACCATAGTCAAAAAAACTCTTCCTCTTCTATTTCTAGACTCAGTTCTAAGTTTCTTCTAGTCCTTCTCTAGGGTGCGTAGAGTTTGAGTGATTTTGTGAAGAGTGGTTTGTGTTAGCTCGATTGACTAAAACTTTTTAAGCCTTAAAACATCTCTTAAAAAATTTAAACTTAAAATTCACAGTACTATACCCTACTAGCACATCACACTTACACAAAATTATTTACAATCTATTACAAACAGCTTAATTTATATATATATATATATATATATATATATATATATATATATATACACACACACTCTATTACTCTATTAACATAAAAGAACAAAATTGACATGTTGCAATTCCCATAAGAATATGAGACACCCTCCCATATCTAAGGGTTACCTCATAGATAAATGGAAGAGTAGCAGGTTATTCAACACGTGTGCACTGTGCAATGAGGAAAACATGAGCAAGGGAATGGGTTTGTAAGTTATAAAAACATGCCCATTTGGCAAGTAGTGGAATCAATTTGAGTAACTGGTTAAAAGGAAAGAAGAGGAATGGAGAAAAGGGACTGAAGATTTTGAGTATGGACTGCAAGGGTAGTTTATATGTCTCTCAAATGACCCGTGTTATATTTTCATGCTTATTGTTTCCGTTTCTAATGGCTTCTTGGGTATAGGTTTCTAACTGAAATGAGTAACTAAAAGAGTTAATTTATCGATGCTAGTATGTGTATTAAAATAGTAGTGTAGAAGAAACATTAGATTGTGGTTATATTATTTTTATTTACATATTTATATTATGGTCATTTAATAAATAATGTATAGGGAGACAAGTCATTTATTTTTTCTTAAAATGTGTAATGACTCTCATATGGTTCAATACATACTTATACACTTCAAAAGAAAAACACATTTTAGTTCACTGAGAGCATAATAAAAAAAAGGCATTTTTTTAAGATAACTTATAAATTTTTTAAAAGAAAGAAAATGAGATAATTTCCTTCTTATGTCTCAAAAGTAAATTGAAATCCATAGATTAGGTCCTTTTCCTTCATATTTTGATGTTTTTATAATCACGTCACCCACATCCCTCAAATTCATGATCTTTCTCTCCTTACTTTAATCGGGAAGATGACATTACCAAGTTATTTCATCAAGCTATTGCTGGCAAACCACACCACATGGCTTCAACTTTTACCTGGATTCATATTCCTTCTTTACCAAGATAAAGATTGATTAAATAATTTAAGCAAAGCAACAGCTTGTAGATTATTGATCCATACAAGACATTCAGTACTTCTATAGGCTCTAATTTGGTTACTAGAAGATCCAGAGTTGAAGACAAAGCAAACTCAAGCAAAGAAAATCAAGTAAAAAATGCTGCATTTTATATCCACTTTGTTGAAAACACACATTTCAATAACTGTTTCCATACTTTCATAAATGTTGCGTTGCTATAACATGTTGATAATGTCGCATGATACTCTAATTAAGACAAGAAATAGCATCACTTACAGTTGATTCATGCCGGATACGACGTGGATACATGAAAAGTTTTTTAAAATCCTCCTGTTCCATATAAGATGTATTATTTAGCTGAGGCAAGCACAACTACTGAAAAAAGAAACTAAAGTCACTGAAGAAAACAAAAACTTATGAAACTTATTAGGATCATACAAACTTTATTACAGAAACTTTGAACATAAATAACAAATTGTTAAACTTCTTGATGTGTTTGTTTAGCCCTTCCATTTGATTCTTCATTACACTGATGAAAATTGTCTAACTCATACTTTCTGACCATTTCTTGTACTAAGTTTCTTAATAAGAAAACTCCACTTTACAAAGGGTCATGAGCAATTCAATCTTGAAGATTCAAAAATGTGATTTCACAATGACAAATTCACTTAGAATTTGACAAAAACCAGACAGAAGGATAAAAATGCACAAATTAGAGAGTTTAAGGATCACAAAGAACTTTTCTAATTTTCATGATCAAAATGTATATGGCCCTAACTTGGAGGCAGTAATTGGGACATTTTCTTTCCTTTTATGTCTACATCAATAACAAGGGTTATGAAGAGAAGGTGAAGGTAAATCATGAACAAGTACTTTTTCTTGACTTGACAAGAAATATGTATATCCCCTACCCTCCCATTTCAACAATTGTTATAAAACATTTAAAATGATCTTACCATTGTAGATGTAAGAGGCTTCTTATTAGCCATAACAGCACAACAACCCATATCAATTGCTTGTTTTAGCACAGAAACAGTGTCAGAGCTAGCAGAGCAATCTACAAACACCAAACCTATAACGAAAAATGGTTTCAGATATAACATCAGTCCATTTTGAATTTGCTTTAAAATCAACAACAGTTAGCAAGTAATGAAAGACATAATAATAATTCAACATACCAGTTTTTCTACCAAGTTGAGATGCAATCTCTAGAATCCTCCCTTGGGACTCTGGATGCACAAATGTCTGGCATGCCCCTTAAAATAACATATAACAAGTAAGCATTAAAATACATACAAATATTCATATCATCACCAAGACAAGTTAGGCATAGATAATCACCAAAATCACGAAGTTTCGATAGAGATTCGCCAGCACCCTTGACTCGACAAAGTTCCAACAAGAAGCTATCATCCAACCCCTTATGCAACAAATCATCCACAGCCACCAATGATTTACTATCACCAACTCCTACAACTCTCAAGCACAGTCCCTGTCACCAAAAAAATAAACATAAATAACATCAAAATATCAACCAACTGAACACTCAATTTTATGAACCCACTTTCCAAAAATGTCTTAAAAGGATCACATTTTCCATCAAACCAAATAAAAAAAAATCGCTAGTTTATAGCATATTCAAACAATAACCCCAGAAAAAAAAAAAAAAACCCGAATTTTAAAAAATTTTAAAAAAAAACCCCCAAAAAAAAAAAAAACCCGAATTTTAAAAAATTTTAAAAAAAAACCCCCAAAAAAAAAAAAAACCCGAATTTTAAAAAATTTTAAAAAAAAACCCCCAAAAAAAAAAAAAACCCGAATTTTAAAAAATTTTAAAAAAAAACCCCCAAAAAAAAAAAAAACCCGAATTTTAAAAAATTTTAAAAAAAAACCCCCAAAAAAAAAAAAAACCCGAATTTTAAAAAATTTTAAAAAAAAACCCCCAAAAAAAAAAAAAACCCGAATTTTAAAAAATTTTAAAAAAAAACCCCCAAAAAAAAAAAAAACCCTATTTTAAAAAAATTTAAAAAAAAAACCCCAAAAAAAAAAAAAAAAAAAAAAAAAAAAAAGATGTCCAAAAGACAAAGGGCAAAGGGGTGATCAGAAACCCATCACAAAGTTTCCATTTTCAGGTTAAAGCAAGGACAAAACAAGAAAATTAAACAGGATCTGAAGACATAAGAATCAAAAACTGTGAATCTAAAGGGACATTACCTGTGTAGAGTGAAGGGATCGACATGAAACAATGTGTTGGAGAAGTTGACGACCAACTCCTCCACAACCTATTAGAAACAGAGGAATATTCTTCATTTTCTGAGTGAATTTTTTTCCTTTTTCACTTTCAATTTTAACCTGGCAATGGAATTTATTGGGGGGTTTTTTGTAAGATGGAAGAAGAGGAAGTGGCAATCTGTGACTGTGAGTGGGATGGGGACTGATGTGAAGCGTGGATCTTGCGTGGCTTTTTCCCCCAAAAAGATTAAAAATAAAATAAAATACACAAAATAAAAAATCAAATTTACTATTTTAGGTGGTTTTTGTCACACACCAAGTTGAGGCAAGGGATAGACGTTTTGTAAAGGGACAAAACGTGAATGAATGGTATATGGGCTTCCTACTCTATCTATTTATAATTTCTTGTTTATTTATTTATATTTTTAAATAATTTTTTATATTATTTTATAGATTAAATAACTAAATTTAATTCTACATCTGTTGTTACAAATTGGTTTTAAGTAAATATATAATTTTTATTTTTTTAAATTATTATATATTATAAATTTAAGAAATATAATATGTGTTTAAAATATATATAAATAATTATCTGTTAATTTAAAAATAATTGTTAAAATTTATGAAATTAAATTATCTTTAAATTTAAAAAAGTAAAATCTTAAATGTAAAAATCATATAATTTAAATTAATAATTGAATATATGTATTTAATTGAATATTATAAATGTATCTTTTTTTTATTTGAATATGTGTATATATGATTTAGTTATTTAATTGTTAAAATAATGAAAGATAATTTTATAAGTTAATGTAGATATTTTGATAATCATTATGAAATTAAATTATCTTTAAATTGAAAATTTTAAAATTTAAAATATAAAAATTATATAGTTTAAATTTAATATAGAATATATGTATTTAATTGAATATTATAAATATGTTTATTTTACTTGAAAATCTATATATTTGATTTAGTTATTCAATTTTTAAAATGATGAAAGATAATTTATAAATTAATATGGATATTTTTTGTAATTATTATGAAATTAAATTATCTTTAAATTTAAAGTCTTAAATGTAAAAATTATATAGTTTAAATTTAATAATTGAATATATGTATTTAATTAATATTATAAATGTGCCTATTTTACTTGAAAATTTATATACCTGATCTAGTTATTCAATTTTTAAAATGATGAAAGAGAATTTTATAAATTAATGTGAATATTTTGGTAATCATTATAAAAGATTATCTTTAAATTTAAAAAAATTTAAAATCTTATATGTAAAAATTATATAATTTAAATTTAATAATTGAATATATGTATTTAATTGAATATTATAAATATGACTATTTTACTGAATATTATAAATGTGACTAATTCAAATAATATTAATAGAATTTAATTTTCTTTACACTAATATTATAAAAAAATTACACTAAACCAATTGGAGTTCATAAAAAAGAATGGTTTTTAAAAGTAATCTATTTTATATCAATAAAAAATTATTTAGTAATCAAAAAAATCAAATATTTTATTTTACATACTAATTTATAATTAGACAACAATTTTCATAATGCATGCCTAAATTATTTTGTCTAGGTTATGTAACGACCCGATGTGGTCCTTATACTTAGTGGAATCGTACTAAGAATAGTGAATTAAGATAAATAATAAAATTGGATAACTTATAAATACAAAAACATGAAAAATATATAAGAATTATTAAATTTTTAAGTATTAAGTATTTATAAGTTATCCAAAACTACTATCTCCTAGTGCCGGTCAAGCACAAAACTGCTACCCTAGGTGGTAACTCTAACACGAGGATCAAAACTTCCTGTCTCGCAGCGGTCACCTCAACTCCAAGCTAGCCCTGACCTGCTCTCATATCAAGTATGATCATCGCAGTTTCACCACATGGAAACATAAGGGTAAGCTAGAGTTAAAAAAAAATCAATCATACAAGTACAGGCAATAGTCTATACCACACAATCATCCAATTATCAATCATGAGCTATCTCAATCCACACAATGGAATGAGCAACTTCGAAGACATCTCCCCTATTCCTAGTGATCAACAATTCATCATCACAACTTAATAAGCGTAACAACTTAAACAACATACAACTTTTCAGCAATAGACATCTTATCTACTTTACAGCAAAATACATCTTAACGGCAATAGATAACTTACAACATGCAAACAACGTAAATAAACAACTAGAGTCATTACAATATCAACTTAATGCAATTTAACAACTTTATAAACAACTTCAGCAATATACAACGTATTTAAAATTCATCTATAATGTCAACTTATATAAACAGCATAAATCAACTTAAGCACCCAACAACTCAACTATGTCAACAAAAGAACACCATGCATAAAACTTCCCTAACTCTCCTGAAATTAAACAACCTACATTCTAGCTTCCCTCACCTGAAGATTGGCTCAGATAGCCAAAAATTGAACAACAGTAGAATTTCACTTCGAGGCTCAACTCGAAACTTCAATCCACCCAAATCAAGCTTTCTAATATGAATTTCAAGAAATGACAGTTGGCATTAGTGGTCTAGAGAAGAAAAGGAATCATACAGAGACATTTGGGAGAGAAAGGAGCTCACAGACCCAGAGACCTTCTCTCTAAAACTTCTCTCTAAAAACTCACATTCTCCTCAAGGCCCTCAACCCCTATTTATAGACTTTTCGGAGTGGCCAAAACGGCCCGTACCGAATCTAGAATGGCCCGTTCTGTATCTTTTCATCATGTGCAAAAACCACATGTAGAACGGCCCGTTCTAAAATCAGAACGGCCTGTCGCCACCCGCCGAAACGGACATTGGCATTCGCGACGATGGTTGGACTCTTTTTAGTTTTTGAAAAATGATGGATTGTTAGAACGACTTATTCTCAAACTGAGACCTCATCGAACTAACAATTTTGTTAAATGATTCTCACCAATCCGTGTTAATCCCAAACGGGACCCTCCATGGATTAGTGGTTTTCAGAAAAAAAGGGTTCTTGGAGTCGCCACCAATGTTTTACTCAAAACATTGGAAAAAGACATAAGGCAATTGATTTTCGCAAATCAACTTTGGCCATTACAACCAGAGTTGGGTAAGGGAGTCGATTACGTGTGGGGAAGGTGTTAGCACCCCACAACGCCCCTTTCGGGTTCCCTATGACGGATTATTTCATAAAATAAACAACTTCAGCAATATTCAACGTATTTAAAATTCATCTATCATGTCAACTTATATAAACAACATAAATACAACTTAGTTTTATAACGTATAACATATTATCAACACACAACATATTAACAACTTAATAAACCAGCAACTACTCAATCCACACCCAACACCTTAATTAATCTACACTCTAGCTTCCCTCACCTGAAGATTGGCTCAAAATAGCCAATAACTGAGAAGAAGTAGAATTCCCTTCCGAAGCTCAACCCGGAACTTCAATCTTCCCAAAGCAAGCTTCCTAGTCTGAATTCCAAGAAAAGCCAAAAGACATTAGTGATCTAGAGGAGAAAAGGAATCATACAGAGAAATTTGGGAGAGAAAGGAGCTCACAGACCCAGAGTCCTTCTTTCTAAAACTTCTCTCTAAAAACTCATTCTCCTCAACTGCCCCAACCCCTATTTATAGAAATTCCAGAGTGGCCAGAACGGCCTGCACCGAAACCGGAACGGCCCGTTCTGCACTCCCTCAACACGTACAAAAACCACATGCAGAACGGCCTGTTCTGAAATCAAAATGGCCCGTTCCGGTATTCATCCAGAACAGCCCGTTCTCCATCCAAAACGGCCCGTACTCCCTCTGGAACGGCCCGTTTTGGGGTTTGGAACGGCCCGTTCTCCCTCCAGAACGGCCCGTTCTCAACTAAGTTTTATAGGTCAATTTAGTAGTTTGGAACGACCCATTCCAATTTAGGAACGGCCCGTTCTGGGCTACTAAATCAGCCATACTAGGCTTTTGGGCCTTCTGAAACAACCTACTACGTTACAGGTTAGATTGCTAAGTTTAATAATTGCAAATCAATTGTTATTCCTTTGCATATGGAAATGACAAAGAAAAATAATTCATAATATAACATGATGAAAAATTTAATTATTGAACCAAAGTGAGCTCTGTTTGGGGGACTAGAATTTTCTATCCATGATTTGAATGAAGAAATTGTCGAAGAGAAAAATTTCCAAGGATAGATGTTTGTGCAATTTATTTTAATACTTAATCTCAAAATTTTATAAAATTACTATGGTATCATATTCAAATTTTATCTAAATATTATAATAAATTATATTTTTTCAAAAATTTCTTATAGAGAAATGGATTATATGCAAGACAATGATGAGGAGCAAGACATTGTTCGCTCTGAGGAAGAACTAGCACATGAGCGATGCACGTCACAATGGAGAAGGGTTATGGTAGCCCAACAAGTTGTTAAAGCTAGAGAACAAGAGTTATTGTCTCTATTGTCACCCCAAACTCCTAGACTTGGAGATGACAATGACGAGGAGGATTTTAGGTCATGTAGCGTTGCCCCTCTTATTCTTGGACATGTTGGTGTGGTCCAAGCTGCCATGAGGAATAGGAAATCTGATAGTCCTTTACCAACGCAACAATTTTTGTCTAATATTGACCGAGTTGCAAACATGGTGTTCAATACTAACCCGTGGTGTTATGCACTTCATTACGTGAAATCTAGCGGTTTATTGTTATATTAAGTTTGGTGCATTTAAATTTATTCATGCAATTAATAGAAATTTTTGCATGTTCTTTTTAATGTTAAGGCTGCTAGAAGTCACACCATTTAGATCATAATATTGAAAGAGTTCCAATTGTTGTTGCTTTTGTGGACTCTATGACCCCAACTGGCAACGAAAATTTTACTATTAACTTAAAGGTATGATTAGTGAATTTGTTATAGATTAAAAGATACTCTTTTATAAATAATTTTAGGACCCAACTGGAACGATTGGTGCTAGCTTACATTGCAAAGCTAAGCAGCATCCACAATATGGGGAAGACATTGTTATCGGCTATTTGTTAGTTTTGAAATAGGTTTTATTTATTGTATAAGAAGATCTCATATGTTATTTATGCATTGAATTGATTCTATTTTTTTATCAGATTGTTGTGTTTGCTCCAGCCCGTATCTGTGGTCCTTACTTGTTGAATATAACAAAAAA